CGGGCTATAAACAAAGCAACAGAAAAAAAGACATATATACGCACACACATACACACACATATACATATATACATATACAAATGTACGAATACATATACATAAATAAGAACAATTAAACTCACGTGTACACATATATAATATATATATACACATATAAGCACACACACACACACACACACACACACACACACACACACATATATATATATATATATATATACGCACACACATATATATATATGTTTCATTAAATAATATAGACAAGTTTTGTCTATTTATTTAAAGTAAGTTCCTTTCATATTGTCTGATAAGCTTAATCACATTATCATTGAAAGACGAAAGGAAATCACCATATTGATATATGTTTACATCCAATCTAAGCTTTCGGCATACATAAGCCATTATCAAAGATGACAATTTCAATAAATCAAACAACAACAGACGAAAAAACAATGATAGTCCGCCCTTGTTGTGTGAAAATTTCCAAGTAACGACAGAATCGTATATACGAGACGCGGAAGCGAAAATCGCGTAGCAGCTCGTGTCGTCACACATGACCACGCGAGAGTGAAAAACGAGAAATAAACCAATGGCTTCAGTTATAAATTATAGGCATTTAAGGATATTTGTGGAGATTTCATAGATTAGAACATGTTGAAATCGCTGCAGAATAGCTTTTGTGTTGAGGTACTTTGTGCCTCTTTGGGCGATGGTTATTAACTGATGATTAAATGATTTTAAAGGAAATTTAAAAAGCAAAGTGTTATCTATTTTTCGAATAGAATTAAAAATAGACTTGTGGTTATCTTGTGATCAACCAATTAAATGTCAGATCTACGCTAAACAGAAAATTACGCTCAGATGGTGCCGGTGGGGGAGTTACTTTTTCATGACATAATAAACCGAAACTTAGGAAGGTCATCTTCGACAATTGGCTGTAGACAAATATGAAATGCTCAATTTTTCAAAGGACGCTGAGGGGAGGGGTATGAGGAGAATCAGACGTAAAGTTATTTTCAACAATTTTTTTTGTTAAATTTCAGACTCAGAAAGCTTCTTGAAGGAACCTGTAGATAAAATTAAAAATGTGGAACATCTATATAAGATACTAATACTACTAACTGGACGGCAATACATAGCAATATGAATTGAATAAACTTTTGAATGAACAAAATAAGATAATTACTCGTAGAGGGTGAACAGTTATTTACTTATAAATTATGGCTACTACCTAATTTTAAAATATAACTATATTGTAAGGTAAAACATGAACTGTATCAACAATTTACAGTTAATTCACTTCTTTAGCTTAATAGAGATTTTTATCAGCAAATCGGATAATTTCTGATTTCTCATGTAAGCATAAAAAGCAAGGTCCTAGCTTAAATTTTGTGAAATTTTTCAGTAACATCTCTTAATTTTTGTGAAATTTTTCACTAACAACTCTATATAACCCTATATTATCAAATATATTATCATTGTAGGCAGTAAGATTATATAAGATAAATAAATCAAAAAAGTCGGAAGATTCAGCAGAATCTAACGATCACATGGAAATATCAAATTGATCAACAGAATTGTTCTTAATCTACCGTTCTTTGTTATGAATGAGAACAGATCTTCTACGGTTCCTATTAATATCAAGCCCCTTTTTGGAAAGATCTGAGTCCTTTCTGGAAAATTCCAAAGCCAAAGTAAAAAGATCCCTGGAAATAGATCGGTAAAAATTCACGGTGCCAAATTGGATAAATGAACAATTTCCTTTATCGTTTATACCATTGAACCAATTTATGACATCGGTGGTATTAATCCAATGTAAAATTCCAAGGCGTCTTCTAATCAGCTGGTTGACTCTGTTAAGGATGATCGTGCCCATCTTTCCAATTTTTGGCCTGATAGAGTTGATAATTTTGGTGGGAAGATTAATCTCAAAATCAGGTTTATGATACTTGATCATGACATAGTGCAGAGTTTGCTAACCCTTCTTGTTGATTTTGAACTTATCGCTTATAGTTTTAGTCGTTACATTCATTTTATCAACTAAATTAACGACATTATTATCAACATTTTTTAAATAATTTGTAGTTAAGTTTTTTTTTTTTACATTATTATAATCTCTATGAGTAAAACTTGTAAAAATTGCCTGTTTTGACTAAAACCTTGTCGGACGAACACAGTCTAGATGCCTCTGAAAATGATTTTTATATTTATAAAAAGAGATACAGTTAATGATTCTTAATAAACCATTTTCAAAACCGTATAATCGTTCTATGAATGGTGCAATTTTTAAGCTTTTGAAACCGTAAAATCCGGTTCTTTCGAAAAATCTTTATCACAAAGAAAGAAATAGGCTCATCCGTCTGTCTAAGTAAATCCTCAGTTTTCAGAACTAGTTTTTAAAAATAATCCTGTATGCTTGTTTTGTGAATATTCTTTAGAGAGTTTTCAAAATTGTTTTTTTTTCCACGTCAATGTAATAAAATAAATGTAGAAAGTCTTCTACTGTGAAGGGAGCGAAATATGCAAATGAGAAAAGAACAGATGGAGGAAAACTCCACTGTTCGTAACAGTTACTTTTAAAAATTATGCTTTTAATACAAAAAGCAGGGCAATATATATATATATATATATATATATATATATATATATATATATATATATATATATTGTTGGGGAAGCTGGTAAAGCTGCACTGTCTCTGTCTTCCCCCTCTCCCTTTCTGTTTTCACCTGCTCTCTCTCTCTATCTCTGCTGCGCTCAAATAAACTTAAGAAAAGTAGGAATATATTTCTTCTTCTAACAATTATAGGTTAAATAGCGGGGTAAACTGAGCTCTAGGGAAAGGTCAGCTCCAAATTGAAAACTAGTTGCGCATAGAACTAGCAACTCCAATCCGTAAATACCTACTACCTAACACATCAATAATACCGAACTGTAGCTGCAGCTATAGGCCTAATACTTTACAGGGGTGTCATATGGCAATACGGATGAGGAGGTATATTAGCAAACTAAAAGTATGCATAAAAAAAGAGTAGAGGAAAGAAGAAATCATTTTAAAGGGAGATAACTATTAAATGTTAATATATCCAATTAGCAGTTATGTTATCCTGCAGGTTACATGGTATCTAGTATAATTTAAATTTTATGCATAAAGGTATAGAAGAATAGCCATCTTTTATTTCTTAACTGTTAGAATTGAAATAATCTTTTAATAAAGTTATTTAGAGCTTTATTCTATAAACACATACTGTGATTACATTTTGTCATTATTATTTAAATGTAAATTTCAGATGTAGACAAGATGTGCATTTTCTTAGTATTCGTTTCCCAGCTAAATACCTGCATATCTATGATTTAGATTATAGGGGTTAAGGGCTATGCAAGTACTAAGCACACTTTTCGGAAGAAACGAATAGGATGAACAGATGAACATTGTGTATGACAATGTCTCCAAACACTCCTTCTCAGGTTTTGAGTTCTGAGTTGCTTTTTTTCTAGACTGATTGCAAAACCAAACCTAAAGAGGTGTTTTCCATAATAATTAACCCGTAGCTACAGATAGATGATATCGTATTTGCTTTGAAATTGTAACTTACCCTAAAACAATGACAACATATTAAATGAAATGGATTAAATCTGACAAATATTTTAATATATTTTCTGTTCATATGTTTTTAGCGAATGCTCTGTTTTTTGATTAAATAATATTAAATATATTTACCAGTCAGAATTTCAGAGCAGATATGATAGATCGAGAAAAATCGGCGAAGGTGTGTGTTTAAAAGCAGTAATTCGAGCTTTCTGTGGCTGAACGGTCATAGGACGTCAGGCTTAATGTAATCAATCCTGACCTGGCATCACAACTTCAGTCACTTTCTCATCAATATGACATGGCTTCTCTCTGTCTTTTCTACAAATATTTTAATTGAGCTTTCCTCCTTGGCGTCTCAATTACATGTATTTAAGCATGCTACTAGATTGGCAACTAGGCCTCGCCATTCTACTGTTGCAATCGTTCTATTCTAATAGTTTCTTTTCTTGCACTTCTTGCCTGTGAAACGCCCTTCCGATTTCTTGCTTCCCTGTCAACTACAATCTCCAAACATTTAAATGAAATGCCAATGTAAGTTTAAATGTAACTTCCATCTTCTGTTTTCCTGAAACTGTTCTTTTATTGTCCTTTCCACCTATACGGAATCGTCTTTAAGCCTGACGTCCTTAAAGACGATTCCGTATAAAATCTAAATTTTTAAAAAAAAGTTGGAGGACGCATATTTTCTATGAAATTTCTCGAACACTCGTTCGGTAAATATAATTAAATACTGCTTAATTAAAAAAAAAACAGAGCATTTACTCAAATAATTGTATCGATAAAATGTATAAACAGAATATATATATATATATATATATATATATATATATATATATATATATATTTTTTTATTACTACTAACATTACCTAATATCGGATAAAAATCTATTAATACCTTATATATATATATATATATATATATATATATATATATAACCATTTTGTATAATTTATTGGCGACCAATTTTACAATTTGCTAACATAAAGTTGCATTTTTGCATTTTTTCCCAAGAAGACAAAATGGCGCCGTTTTTGAGTGAGTCGATCCTATCGGCGAGGAAATTCAATCTGCCTCGTTTCCTCTGCGTTCTACTTAGGTGATTGTTTAACTATCGATCAGCAATTGACCAGTGAAAAGACGCGGCATTCTGGCTGAAAGGACAAGGAACCATGTCTGTCTAATGGTAAACGAACGGAAGTAACGAACGCCGACCAGGAACCGGAAGCCCACAGAAAGGTGGGCATTGGTCGCCAGACATTCTGCTTAGTTCTGTGCGTATTTTAAGGGCTGGGTATGTTGGCTTGATTGACACGGGGAGAAACATTCGGCTTCAAAGTTTAGAATGGATGATTCAATTTCTAAGTTTCTCAGTTCGAGACTGGTAAATTTGATGCGTCTTTTTGAAGTTTAAGATTGAGAATGAGATGATTCTGAATGCAAATTGATTGACTGATTAGAAAAGAGAGAGAAAGAGAGAAAGTAGAATAAATGAGGAAGAAAATGAAAAAGAATGATTAGTAAGAGAAAAAAAGAGATAGAAGGTTTGAATAAGTCTATGAAAACACTAGAGACGACTAGAGGGGACAAGAAAAAATCAGTTTGAAAAGGAGGAAAGAAAATGTAAAGAAGGGAAAAGAAGTCTAGTCAAGAAGAAGAAGAAAAATAATAATAGAGACGAAAGAGGAGGCGGAAAGAATATGTAAATGAAAAAATGAGAAAGAAAATTTTTAAAATAAATTAAAAAAGGGAGGGACAATGAGAGGATTTTTAAGAAATAGAACAGAGAGTGATTAAATGTCACAGAAGAAGAAGAAGAAAGGAGGATCAGGGAGGAGTAAGAGAAGAAGAAGAAGAGGAAGAAGAAGAAGAAGAAGAATCATATGAAATGGGAGAGGGAGAAATGAAGAAAACTAAAAACGAAGAATGACTGAAAGAAAGAAAGAAAAAGAAGAAAGTAGAAAATAAGAAGAAAATTATATAAAGGGAGATAAAGAAGTATGAAAGAACGAGGCTTTTAAAGAAGAAGAGGAAGAAACAAGTATAGATAAAGGAGAAAAATAAAGAAAAAAGAGAAAGAGAAGACGGAGATAATCAAGGAGGCGGTGAAAGGGAGAAAATGAAGATATAAACGAAAGAAGAAGAAGAAGAAGAAGAAGAAGAAGAAAGAAAAAAAACAACAAAAAATAATGTAAAGAGGATCCCAAAATATTTCTGCTGATACGCAGAAAAGTTAAAAATAATTGACCTAATGAAAAGTTTCGAGAGCGGCGCTTAAACATTGTTACGCGTTGAAGTGAGGCGCCGCGAATTGTCCGATGTGTGTCTGTCGAACTAAGAACTTTATAGATCGCTCCAAAAGAATATTAACGCTTTCAGACAACAGCGGACGACCCGGGGGCAAACCAGTTAAGGCCTAGCTGCGTAATTTGATTTCAACTGTTAATGGTCAAGATTTGGGCGCATGCAAAGACGCTTTACAGAGACTTCGAATGAAGAGCATTAGAAAAGTGCTGTATTAAGAATGGAAGAGGAGTTGCAGAAAATAAAGCAGACGAAGGAAAGTACAGCCATTTTACTAGCATTGTTGTATGTACGTACAGCACGAGAAATTGGATCGTTAGTTGTGTTTTGGGTTGTAAGCGAAAGATATACATGAAATAGACGTTGGTATTAAGTTATGGAAAGATAGGATAGATTTGTGCCATATAAGATAGATTGATTGATAGACAGACAGAAAAAATAGATCGATTAATAGATAAATATAAAGAGACTGAGATATGTACAATCTGAGATATCGAACGATAAAAAACAAACTTCGATATAAACTGGCTGAAAATATATATATATATATATATATATATATATATATATATATATATATATATATATATACCCCAATATTGCCATATATATATATATATATATAAATAAAAAAATTCAAACAAAAAAAGATAAATATATATATATATATATATATATATATATATATATATATATATATATATATATATATATATATATATATATATATATATATAAAGAAAACAAACAGACAGACAGACAGAAAAGAGAAAAGAAAAATTTGAGATATATAACGATATTGAACAAGCTTAGATATGCATAAACAGGCTGAGATAGATAGGTAGATAATTGATAAAATTAAATAGATAGAAACAATTATGATTTCTCCGTGAGTTTCTCTTTAAAGCTAGCTAGATATGAACATGCTGATAGATAGATATATAGATAGATAGTTAGTTAGATAGATAGAAAGAAAGAAAGCAAATATGAAAGGGAAAGAGTACAAAACGCAGAATAACAGAGGACGGAAACTATTACTAAGTAAAAGCAACCAATGGATATACAAAGGCGACAGAGCTCATCCCTTTAAATCAAGAATGTCGTGATATGCAAGTTGAAGGTAGCATGCGATTAATTCTTGGCATCATTCGATATTGGGGATATTTTTTCTTTGGCAAAACCTTGATGTCTGTTGCTTGACGTGGCTTAGTCAAGTAAATCATTCCAATTCTTTAAACTGTCCGCTAATCTCGGCAGTAACCCGGCATATCTCATTTATTTGGCCTCTTCTCTTCATCTATTGACGCACAAATAAGATTTATTATGTGAACAGAGGGAATTTATTTAGCGTATATTTATAAATGTTGACCGGATGAAAAGTGACGCCTCTTGTGATAGTTATCAAGTGAGTTTTTGAGAATGTAGTAAATGTGATTGTCTGCTAGGTGCCTCAATATTCAGATTTTGTGAGAGAAAAATAAAAACTAAGCTGAAATTGGGGAAACCCGAAGTTTTCTGCGAGTAGTGCAATGGTTATCGGCGTGAAAAATGGAGTCGGATAGCTTCTTCACACTAATGCTCTTTGAAAATGCATGGACCTATTTCATTTCCTCACCAGCTATAGATTAAATTGCAGGGTAGATTTGGGTATTTAACCTTGCGTTGCAGTTAGTCTTGGAGACAGAAAACTGTATTGAAAACCGCGATTGAGGCAACGAGAAACCACTACACTGTTTTCCCAAGAAGAAATGGTAACTCACAACGACCTGTTGTTAAAATCACTATTGAAAAGAAGATTTCAAGTATAGACGAGATTAAGAAGAGCGCAAGGAGGTGGTTGATAGCAATTCCGAAAGAAAAGTTGAAGGGATGTATTTGATTTCTCAAGGCGAGTACTACGAGGGAGTCTATGTCCTACATTTTTTCTCTTAATAATAAATGATTAAATCATTTTCGGATAGACTTCATATATATATTTACAGTAAGGGTCAATCTGTAAAAGGCCACTCGCGGTAGAGGTTTACATTAAAAGGCAGTTTATGTGGAGAGGAGAGGAAGATAAAGGCTAACCCTAGACTTGAACAGGATAAGATTGTTGCGATCGGGGAAACACGGTTCCACAGAGTAGTGGTTCGCGAGAAGATGTTGTTTGAGTGGAACTTACTCACACTCAGAGGGAATGTGGATGGTTTGCTACAATGTGAGTGGTATGGCGAATCCTACCCGTGAGAAATAGAACGGGCGGAACCAAGTAATGTAGTTGATCTAGACATTTTCCATGGAAGTACGGATAAAGCAACTTTAGGCTTGCCACATCTTGCATATGTGTGTGTGTGTGTGTGTGTGTGTGTGAGAGAGAGAGAGAGAGAGAGAGAGAGAGAGGTTGGAGGGTGGAAAATAATTTGTCATCCATAAGGACTTAGAGATTTGAACTCTATCGAGACTGGAAATTGGGGACTGGGTAGCTTCCACCCAAATATAACAACAATACTCCATTTTAGAACTGATCTGGCTCTTGTAAAGGTAGAGGATAGCATGTGGAGTCAGGCACTTACTCGAGGGTTACAGTGCATCTGTTTGTGTCGTATGTGTCACATGAGATCAGGTGCGATTCTCACACTCAGGATTGGTTGTAGTTCTAAGTCCGATCGGAGATGATGGAATGTAACTAGTTCGCTGTATCTTTTACATTTACTATTATCCTCATCTTTGTTGCCATATTTATCACAACGTTTCTGATCTTCTTCAGGTGGTTGGAATATCGAACTGTTCTTCCACGTGCCAAGTCAGTCATCAGTTATCTCCTGTTAATTCCCCTCTCCAAGTTCTCCACTGCCTTAACCGGGTATTGAACTCACACTTTTTGGGTCCTGTCACTGGATCTAAGCAACGCCTTTATCCACTGTGTCATGTGTAGTTGAGGACATCTGTGTATGAATTTCTGGGTATTATAGCCATCAATTTTTACCAGTGCTCATATTGCAATTTTTGCTGTTATCATTGCATGTTTTTTTTACCAGAGCTCATATTGCAATATTTGTTCTTATCGCTTTTCTCTGTCACTCCTTATTACTGGTTCACATATTGTATTCATTTCTATGTTTGATCGGCTCAGGAGATTTTTGTGGCCAAACATATGTGCTGATTCCTTAAGTTTACGAATTTTCCAATGATGTTCTTTGTCTATGATCTCAACCTGATCCCATAGAGGTCGGTGATCTCCTTTTTCTCTCCATATGTAGTCAGCCACGCCTGATTTTTCCACTTCACCTCGTGTTACAGCTTTATATTTCTTGAAGCCTTACCTTAAGGGGATGGCCTGTCTCCCCAATATATTTCTTTCCACAGTTGCACTAGCGTACACACAGTCTTTAGTCATGTTCTATGGAGGGGTCTTACTCGGGTGAGATATCTGCGAAGTGTCGTCCAGCTTTTTAAGGTTATCCTGATGTTATATGGACCACAGATCCTTTGTATTTTCTCTGATAACCCCTTCACATGAGGTAGGTAGACTGTTTTCTTAGTTTTGTCCTCCTGCTACCATGTATCCAAGTATATTACGTTGGACTCTGAATATTTCTTATAATTTCAAATTATTTTTTAATGTATGACGTTTAATGTCAAGTTTTTTCTCAATTATATTAAGGAACGAACGATCTTTTTTTACCAAGCATATTTAATTTATACAATATTGTAATAAGGAATCATTGAAAGACAAATATTGATATTTAACATTCAATAAAGATTAGGATAATAGTCCGAATAATGTAAATAGTGAATCCTAATACCTGTCACATTAAATAACTGACATAATGTGTCATGGGTTATACAAACCAGTCTTTGTTTCTTTTGCCTTCAAAATTGTTCTATGAGTGACAAATTTTCCAAAGAACTGGCAGTTCACTCATTATGTGTCCTGGAAATTTCAACCATTTTTTTCTGATGTATCCTTTTTTGTTTGTATTTTAAAAAATGGTTGGTCATTAAACTTTGTTCTGTGATTCATTAACTTAACACCGTTCTGTAAAACCATTTTATTTGTTTCAAAATTTCATAGCCTGAAGGAAGATTGATTTTAAAAACATTTCATCACTCTTTATTTGGATTCTAATGAAATTTTCTTCTTTGAAATTTAGGAGGTGGAAACCTATCTTTCAAAGCAAGCTCAGATTGCCTGTTTTCACAATAGCTTATTCAAGGCCACTGCCCTCAAAATAAGGGGCATCAAAAATCAAGGTACAAAAACTCGTTCGGTAAGAAATTTTCAGAAATTTTGGTCAGGACCTATTGTATGCAGTCAATTGAAAAAATCCATCATGTAATCAAAGTCAAAATTATAAATGAGGTTAAATTGTTCAGATCGACAAACGTTGTTATCCTAAACCAACAACGCAGTAAAATTTTAACTTCCTTGGTGCATAAACAAGTTCTGTCTGGAATGTTACGTAAGTCATTTTTCTGTTTCTCCCAAAAGGATTCCCAGTTCCAGTCTAAAGGAAAAGACATAAGCTTGTGTCTTTAAACATCTATACTTTCAGCAGTTTACACTGTTGAAAGAAAGGAAAAAAAATTCTTGGACAAATCTTGTTATAAAAGGGCACTGTTGAAGAATAATGCCACATTGTATAATCTCTTCTTTTTACAATCTGCCATTGACAAATAAATTTTAAAAACACTTCAGGTTTTTCAGCATTTTAAGACGTTCAAAAAATTCAATCAACTGACATATGCTCAACATTTTGAAAAGAACCTTAAATGAAACTAGAAAAAAAGTTAAAATGTTCAAGTTTAATTTAACATTTGGAATCCTAAAAATTAAAAATGGGTCAGCATGACAATTTGAGTTAAATCTCGTTTTTTCGGTTTATCGTTATTGTCTCCATTTTTCAAAAGATTATTTTTTGTTCTGAAAAAAATAAATTTAAAATAATTTAACTTTATGCTAACATTTAAGTGAAAAAAAATTGAATTATTTGGTTCATATATTTTTTTAATTTATCAAGATTATTAATATTTTATTTTTCAAATTAAAATTATTATTGGTTCAATTGCAAATTGATTAAATTAAAGGATCATTGGACTGAAAAGAAATGTTTATAAAAATTTTAATTTTTTTTTTACAAATGTTGTCTTCAAATAATTTTCAAAATCAAGAGATATTTAAGCGAATCCAAAGACATAGATTTTTGGAATTAAAATACTCACAAAAATTATTTTATATATATATATATATATATATATTTATATATATAATTGATTTATTAAACAAATGAGTTAATTCATAATTTTAAAATTAAGTTACATATTTGATCACTATTAAGATATCTTTTTTTCTTTAATTGTTTTATTAATCTTTTTTGAAACTTTTCCATAATAGATCAAAAAAAAAATTGATTCTCATCCTACTACCCTGTTCCATTTAAAAAAAAAAAAAAAAAAGAGAAAATTTATACATTTACATCAAACCATTTGAATTTAATTCATTTAATAATAATTGGAAAATATTCATCTGTGCATTTTTATCTTTTTATCCCGATAAACGGAAAAGTAGAAAATTTTTCAAAATAAAATATTTTTTAATATTTCTTTGTTATATGACATATTAAATTTCTATTCTTTTTATAATAAATAATATATATATATAATATATTTATATATAATATATTAAAATTTCACACACACATTTTTTTTTTTTAGATGTTTAAATAAATCTTAATTGATAAAAATAGTTATAAACGTTGTTAATCATTTGACCGTAGAGACATAATTAGATTTATGGCGAATATATTTACAATATCAAATCATTTTAAATTGCCAATAATTTTGAAAACAGCCATTTTTTTTCTGCATTTTTAGAGCTATTATTTTATGATTTTTTAAACTTACATTCAGAGTTGTCCCCTACATGTCAAAATAGTTGACATGACAAATTGTCAATTTGGTTTATTTTAAGTCTTTCAAAAAACCATAGAAATATCATAGATTACGGAAATAAAAATTATTGAAAAAACAATTACGTATAAAAAGGTCTGATCTTTTAATAATCAAATGATTTCTTTCATATCTTTGTGCTTTAAAGTATACAGATTAAAAATAGACGATATTTTTTCATTTCAGATATTTTTGACTAAACATTAATAATTGATACTTTGGCAAATCTAATTTGTTTTTATTGGAAATTAACGATATTTTCTTTAATGTATTTTAAACTTTATAAATGTTATTGTATTTTGTCCAAACTCATGCTCTGATCATTTTTTGACCTTGGTTATTTTTAAGCTTTTTTTAAAAATAATCTGAATTCATATATATATTTTATATCTTTTAAATTTAGCATAAAAAATATTGCTTTTATTTATCTAAAAAGTTTTTATCTTTTCCTTTTTTTGGTCTTTCATTTGTCATTCACATTAGTGTCTATATTTTAGATATTGAATTCGTCACTTTATTTCCTTTTTTTTTTTTTTTTTGAAACAATATGTCACTTATTTATCTCTATATATTTTTTTTTTTTTTTTTCCATGACAATGGATGCACCCAAATTCGAAAGGTCAATAAATTAGGAAATAGTAGATTTTAGAAGTGGTTACTTGCGCATTATTCTTTGAATTAAGGAAAAAAATATAGGAAGCCTTCACTTAAAAAATGGAGACTACTTGATAAAAAAAAAAAAAAAATCAATTTTAAAATGGTTAAACAGATAGAATGCATAATTGATTTATGTTGTATTTTCAAATTTTGAAGATCCAATGTTTAATTGAAGGATGTGTTTATTTAATTGTTGAAATAATTCGAAGCTCTTGGAGAAGGGTGATTTTAAGATCTTATAAATATAGAACTTATTGTTAAACATGGAATGCTCTTCAACAGAATTTATGACACCTTCACTCAATCTCATTCATGGTTAAAATAAATAAATTCTAGGTAAATATATATAGGAAAATCTTGATCAATGGTCAATACTATGACATTAAATTATAGAAAAGAGGCACATGCCTAAATATTGATGAATTTTCTACAAATAAAAACTTGTCAAAAGAAAATGTACAGTGAATGACATCTATATATATATATATATATATATATATATATATATATATATATAATGGATAAAAAAAATTTTTTCTCAGAAAAAATTTTTGTAATGCTGTTTTTGGTTTTAATGTTTAAAATTAATAAGCCGTTTCTTGACTTCAGTTAATAACAGTTCCAGGTCATTTTTATGAAAAGATATCATTTTCAATTTGACCATATCAAACCATCCGAAAAAATGGAAGGCTTAAGACAGGATAAAAGGAAATAAATATAATATAGATATATATATGAAACTTTTAATGATATATATATATATATATATATATATATATATATATATATGATATATATATATATATATATATATATATTTATATATTATATTAAATAATATAGACAAATGTTGTCTATTTATTTTATATAAATTCTTTTCATAACGTCTGATAAGTTTAATAACATTATCATTGAACGAAGAAAAAAATCACAATATTGATCCATATTTTTTTAATATAATCTAAGCTTTCAAACACATAAACCATTATCAAAGATGACAATTACAAATATATTAAACAATATACGGACAAGACAATGTGATGATAGTCTGTGAATGTTTACATGGAAGATTTCTAAGCAACGATAAACTTGTGCATATAAGACGCTAAAAGCGAAAATCGCACCGCATCTCATGACGTCACATATGACCACGCGAGAGTGAAAACAGAAGTATTAAGTATGGGAAGCCGTTGGTATAATAAACCAATGGCTTCTGTTATATCAAGACATTTTTAAGGATATTTGTAGAGATTTTCATAGTTTATTTTGTTTAGGTTGGGTTTCAACTGTTTTATGTATAATGCTTCAAGAATTTTTAGTTTTTGTTTATTGTTTTCATGTTTAAGTATAGTTGTGTTTTCAACAAGGATTTTCCGGAATTGTGTATGCAGCCAGGCATATTGTTTTAAATGCCTAAAAATGTTAGAATTTTCATTCAAATGTAGTGTCAAGCGTCGTGAAAGCAAGTTTGTGGTGTGACCAACATAAATATTATTTAATTCGTTGGAGATACAATCTCCCAAAGGGCACTTGAATTTATAAACTATGTTGTTTTTTTTGCAAATCGCTAACCGGAGGAGAAGAATCATTGCGAAGAATTGAGTTGGATATACTAGATTTAGTGTAGTATATGATTAATTTAATTTTTTTGCTAGGATCCGTTGTTGATATATTAGTATTTACTAATTTTTTTAGTATATTTTCATCTTGTTTATAATTAGTATGCATTTGATTATGATATAGGGGATTAATATCTTTGAGATTAGTTGAATCAATATTATGTACTATTTGCTTAGTATTGAGGTTTCTAAGAAAGCATCTTATTTGTTCATCAACTATATAGTTTGGAAAGCTATTATTAATAAGTGTCTGTTTTATATTCTTTAGTTCACTGTAAAAAATCTGTTTTGTGGATGAATTAGTTTCTGCACGATGTATTAGATTTTTATAATTGCTATTTTGTAGTAATATGGGTATTCACTCTTGTAGTTAAGTGTACATGAATTTATGCTTTAGGTTTTTTTATGGCGAAATAGTAAATTTGTTATTATTTGTGTTTATCAATATGTCAAGGAAGGGGATTTTTTATTAGTATTGAGTTCATATGTGAATTTAAGGACAGAATTATTTTGGAAACGTTTTTGAAGTTGAAGTATTTCATCAGTATTTTTAACTAGCATAAGAATATAATCAACGTATCTTAAGATACTAGACCGAAACGTCTGACGTCGACATTGAAACAACATTAAAACAGCATACTTGCATATTCGGATTTTGTTTTTCCATATTTTTTCAATACTGTCGAATCTATATCCACCATTTTTATATATATATATATATATATATATATATATATATATATATATATATATATATATATATTTCTTTTTTATCTATCCAGTCTTACGTCCACATCACGTTGAAACAACAGTTCTCGCACAATCATCGAAATTAAGCAAGTATCAGTATCTAGATTGGTGACCACTTGGAAATACCAGGTGCTGTAAGCTTGGATGTGCGGATGGTGCAATGGAATTTCTGGCTTTAAATGACCTGCAAGGGTTTGAGAAGCCGTAGAAAAGAAATCAATAAATCAAAACTAATTAACTACTCTGGACTGTAGACAGGTTGTGGCATCAGGTCCAGAAACTCCTCAGCTTCCTTAAGTTTGAGCTTGGTCACATTGGCAGCGTGTACTGGAGCATTGTCATGCTGTAGGAATGCCCGTCTTCGATTGAACAAAGGGCTTTCAAAGCATCATATACTCACTGCAGTTGTTGAGCATAATGATCAGTGTTCAAATCATGACTAGTTGGTACAAGTTTAAAGTGCAACACATCCTCGAAATCACACCAAACGCACGACATGACCTTTTGTTCAATCAGCCATTGTTTGACTGAAGCGTAATCGGAACGAAGCCATTGATTTCTCTTATTAGGATTACGAAAGCAGATCCATTTTTCATTCCCAGTTACAACTCGTCAACAAAAATGGCCATCTTGAAGTTTTGCCAGCAAACGTTCACACGTCATTG